TAAATCCTGACTTCGGTTTAAGCGTGCCCTATCCTTTACTTACGTAAAAGCGCAGGACTTTGTTGGCCGCAGGAAGGTTCAATTGCCTGTTGACAGAATTGGTGTCTGGAGTAGGCATAGCCCATCGACCTCAAGCGACGATACCCTGCTGAGTGATGCAACCTAAAGACAGTCTGCCCCCTACAGAAACCTTCGCAGTTGTCTACAAAATATTTTGCAACGATGGAGACTGTAATTACCTTGGGGAAGCAGGACGCAAATTGCAGACCCACCTACAAGAACACAAAGCGGAGGCCCGGAGATTAGACTTTAACTCGCAGCTTGCCGCACACATCGGAGAGAACGGCTACGACTTCGATATTCAAGGAACGACAATCATAGGCCGAGGAGCCTCAAAAGCTGAAAGATTGACGCTTAAGGCACGGTACTCAGACGCTAATTCCGTTAACAGGCATCTGGACCTTCTTGCGGCCTACAAAGTCCTGCGCCATTACGTAAGTAAAGGATAGGGCACGCTTAAACCGAAGTCAGGATTTGCAGACAATGACGGTCCTGTGACGAAACCACCGGAAGTGGGAGCAGGATTACCAGCATCCTCTACCGTGGGGACAGAACAGAACACCAATTGCCGTCACGCCAAGCCAAAATCCACACGCAAGGCCAGACAGCGAACGGACAAAAATCGATCAGCCCTGGGCCAACACTTACAGCCAAAACTTAAAACATGCAGCTTGATAAAAGTCAGTATTCGCTTTGACAAAGGACAGTAGGCCCAGCTGTCCGAAACATCAGCAAATCTTCAAATTTATTCCGGTGAGCAGAAGATAAATTATAATTATAACATTAGGTTTTCTCATATTAATTTTAATGACATATATTGGTTTCTATTTATCCACAGGCTGTTTCTCAGTATCTGCAACCTAGACGAGTCCTGCAGGGCTATTCTGCAGTCCAGTGCGCCGAAAACTGTGTTCGCGCCAGTTGACACCGTTTTGCAGGCCTTTAGCGCACTTCCGGATGCGGAGAAGGTAAATAATTGCCAACCAACGTGTATATCCGTGCTTGGTGAATCCCTTGAGCTCATTTGCACAAGATTTATCCTTACATTTTTCAAAGTTATATTAATCAGAAGAAGTAATCACAATGTGCTCTGAACGTATGACTTTGCCCAACTTGGGTTGATCCGCAAGTAAGGGCTTATTTGGTGGAGTGGCTAGGGAAACTTTGTAAA